GGTATAGCAAATACATATTAAAATTTAAAAAAAATAATTTTTAAAGAATTACAAAATGTTGAAAACAATAGCAATAAAACTCGATTTTCGTGTCGAATGATTGTTAGTCGCCGTGCCGCGCCGCGCCGGTTAGCGAATAGACGCTTGATGCTTTTGAGGTTAAGTATAAATGCAAATATTTTTATTTTGGTGCTTTTGTTTTTTTTTCTTGTAATTTTAAGATGAGTATTTAACATGGAACTGAGTCAATTTCCTCAAAAGTTTTATTCTTGAAAACAATTTTAGGTTTTTCGCCGCTAAAAGAAAATCTGCAAAATAAAACAATTATTTTTTGTACACCACTGATTTGATCTAAATGGAAACCATTTTGTCAGTGATATTTTACTAGTAAATTAAATTTGCCTAACTGATGAAAAAATGCTTAACAGCGCTTTCAGATGGAGCGGACCGTTTGCGACTTCGAGCAAGTACCATGAGTTTAGGGCTCGAACACACTGACGACCAGGTCGCACCGGCCAGGCCGCAGCTACCTCTAAAACCATTGAATCAAATGATATAGTGCACACTAACGTCCTGGCCGTCCGTTGGTCGTTGCGACCAGAAGACTGCACGGAAATATTATTATTTTCTGCCGCTTGTTGCCGGTTTTCTTCCAAATTAATAATTTTTCAGATGAAATCCCTCATATTCAAGGTACAATATTTTATTTTCTATAAGATATAGTGTTCTAGTGTAGTTTTTGCACACGTGCAGAAAATCCAAAGAAATAGTATACAGAGTGGATCAAAGGTAAACTTAAATCTATCCCTTTTTTTATCAAGGGTCGATTCTAGTAAAAACTCAAAACATTTTTATATGACATACCTACTCTATTTATGGTTGGTATGATACCTGTTATTATACCTTTGAGTTTCGATGTTAAAAAATAAAAAAAAATAATATTTAAAGTTTTTCTACAACCACTTGTTTTTTTTATTAAATTAGTTTTTTTAGTTGTATTGTAGTCATGTACAAGAACGACAAACAGGGTTCATTAGACTATATTTCTGCTAGGTTCATTATTTTGAAAAAAAATTAAGAAAGTAACTTAAACAGTCATAAAAATAGAAGTAATTACTGTTGTAAATTCTTCGTTATATTGTAAAAATTGAAATAACTGGAAGCTAAACTTTCTACCTGCTTATATTTAGAGCCAGTGTCTGACGATCTTTTTTTACGATGGCCCTAATATGTTTACATATATATCGTCCAGTTTGTCGCATATGGGAAAGGAAGCGCATTTAAAGGAATACCATCGACGTAATTTATTGTAGAATAAAATACAATTATTATTGATGCAAATCGGGAAAAAAATATAAAATTGTGATTAAAGATGTATCGATTAATACGTTTAATTCTTCAAATGTATTGGTGAGGCACTGCCTCATCTGCCTCATAGGACAAGCCGCCCCTGGAACAATTTCACATGGGTCGCGTATGCTCCGTCCGGATGATTTCGTCCTACGGCTATCTTGAAAAAACACGCGGATGAACAGCGCGGACGGTCCGCTCCATCTGAAAGCGCTGTAACGCTGCAGGAGGTACATCTCGTCGCATCGTCAGAAGCAAAAAGTACATAGAAGAAAAAAAATATATATATTTAAAATATCTAAATGCAAAAAATGGGGATAGAATTATAAATATTAGATAGGGGGATTAAATGGTGCCCGGTGGCGTAGAGGTACAGCTTTCGTCTACCAATCTCAAGGTTGTGGGTTCGATTCCTACAGCCGGCATTTCATCAGACGACTATTTTTAGTAAAATAAAAATAGTTTGGGTACCTAGGTCGACCCAGCCTTAAATGAGTTCTTGGGATTCATAATCCTGAGGTAATAATAGGCGGTTGAAGCGTAGTGCTAGCCGCATTACCTTCCTTGTTGTTCCTACCGAACGGCTCTAGCATGGCAAGCTGTACCTTGCTACTCCCAAGGCGTTAAACGCTATATACGGGAGCTATTATTATTATTATATACATATACCATTTAAAAAAAAAACAAAGAAAAATTATGTTATATTTTAGAAAGTTTAGCGTAGAATTTTGAACACCCTGTATTATTTAAGATTACGATATATATAGCAAAGTGAGTACAGATCATGTAAGGTAAATACCTAATATAGTTTTGATTTCAGGACAGGTTCTGGTATTTTTAATATTTTCTTAAAAAAAGGGAGAAGAAAATATTCTTTTTTCTTTAAAAATCAGTTTTTAATATAAACATAATCTAAAAAATATATTTTTTTCTTTAAAAATCAGTTTTTAATATAAACATAACCCAAAAATAGGGTCAAATTGCATTTACAATTCTTACATTAACGTCTTCTAACCGCATCAGGTGAAAAAAGTGGAAAAAGTTAATAAATAAAAAATACGATTTTTTTCAGAGGATTTATTTATACAGTCAAAATCTATCAAATTAAATATCTCGGAAATTGTGCATTTTCGAAACACAGTTTAAATGGAGAGAATACCTATAGAGCTCTATCCGTAGAGGCATCACTGGTCGTTTAGCTACTTACCGTTTCCGAGAGGAAACATCTTATTTTTATTTACACCTTTATTTTTTTTCCTGCTGGTATAATTTAATGTAGCGACCAAACGCCAAAATTTTTGGAAGTGACTTCCACGCTTAATTTCAACGTTAATACCTTAAACATCATTTAAGAATTATTAAAAATTGACCCCCTATTAAAAACACAGGGATTTTGGTAGCTCGATCGGATTTCAATATGATATATTATATGGCTCCAATCGATTGCGAATTCAAATTGCTTTTGTTAAATTGTCTCAATTTTTACATTTACAGCATATGATCAATTTCCTCACTAAACAAGCGTTTTTTGGAGATAAAAAAAATATTGATTGAATTATTAATTGCCTTAATTATTAAGAAACCTAATAGCAAGCTCAACGTACATATTTTACAAATGAGAACATCATATAAATAAGAGATAAATAATAAAACAGGTGGGTTTTCGTGTTCAGGAAAGCGGAGAAAAAAAGCACGACAGCAATTCGGAACGGAACCCGGCCTGCTGAAATATTAAATTCAACACAGATTGTGAGTTATCTAACGGTTGCCGCAACATGACTTTCTCAAGTCGCCCGTTAACATGGCGACAAACGGTCTCTGGACATGCGAAGCCGTCCGAAAAATGCCCGAACGAATGTGGAAAAGGTCGACAAGTTTCCAGCAATTCGTGAAAATTTTATTAAAGATATCTTAATTTATTGTTGTTTAGTAGGATAAGTAAGGAAAACAACATGGAACATGAGAAAAAGCATATAGATTTAATTAGTTGGTATGAAATACCTATCTATAATACAGGGTTGTTAACCACATACGACATGGAATATTGTAGCTAAACGAGTAGATTTTTACAAATTGTAAGTTTTGGGTTCGTTGAAGGACTATAAGAGCTACAATTTAAAAGTATTTTTACAAGATACAAAGTGTCCCAAATAAGTAAAAAATATTATAGTTGTATTTTTATTTTTATACAACTATAATACATGCTACACCCTGTATATTATTACATTTTTAGATTCTACGACTGAAATAAAGGTAAATTGGATAAAATGTCTATCACAGTTAAACTTTACCGTTTTTGAAATATTTTCAATTTTATGAAATTGCAGTAAAGTCACGGCTTCATTTCTTCAAGGGCATCAAAGTTTTTAATACTAAATATTTACTGAAGTTTATTTATTGATCAGATATTGTGTTGCAACAATAAACAAAATTCTACCTTATACAGAGTGTCTAAAAATGTATATTAAATAATTACTAGTTTAAACGGCAATAACTTGTTTAATTTAACTTGTATATTTTACGAGAATCACCCTCTATATTTTACGAGAATCAGATGCACAGTTTAATTGTCTATCCAATTGTATTATACTTGTATATTATATATTGTATTTTTACTTATCTGTTCAAGTTTTCGTAGAAAATGCATTTTCTTATAATTTAGACCTCATTTATCACTATACCCATGGAATATTGAAATTTCAGATTATTTTTAAAGATGTGACAAATTTTCAAAGAGTACCAGATACTAATATTGTCGATATAGTTCGCTCATTTCATTAAAAAATTAAAAAACTGTTTAAATATTTTTTGTTAAAGATGACCAATTAATATGATGCCAGTATTCAAACTCTGTTAATTGGCTGTTTACGTTGCTTAATAATACTTGTTTCGAATACTAAAAAACTGAATTTTGTATGTGTATTAGACAGTGTGGTAAAAAGTAACACCCTATAAAGATTTAAATAGTTTTCTTTTTGTAAACAAATGGGTTTGCAGTATTATTATTTTTACCACCATTTTGTACATATGTTTAAAAAAATCTAAAATGTCAATATTCCATAGGTATAGAGCTATTATATCAGCTTTCAATATACCAAGTTTATGATTTAACCAATGCTTATTCAAGATTATGTTTCTGTCAATTCTTCACATTTTTTATTTTTTATATCGAAATCTATTAAATTATTTTTTTTTATTTTTTTAAAGTTTGATGCGCTCTAGCTGACAAACGAAGCACTTTCGTGTACAGGTAAATTGTGTCCATTGAACTTATTTTGTTTCTAAAAATACGCAGTAGTTCTATGTTCACAAAATGTTGGAACATCCTATATATATTTAACCAATCCTGTTAGTCACATTCACCAAGCCTGCCCTAACTACACTGCCCTCATAATACGACGAGAAAAATAACAGACCTATCATATATGTTTTACTGGACCAAAATCAGTAAGTAATACCATGAGTAAAATACAATATTATAATTAGAATCTTATAATTATTTTATTAGATTTATCATTATTAGAAGATTAAAACAATTAGAAGCTTTTTTTATACACGTATATAAAATTTAATGGACTAAATGTCATTTTTATGACAACGTAAAAAATTGTCAATGTCTGTCTTGTCGTCTTTCTAAATTTGGGGAAACAATGCAAACCATAATATCTAAAACGGGAATCGAGGTATCTTACCCTTGTACGGTACATCTACTTCAAAATGGCGAAAATTACGAATGCGAATACAAGTCAGACGATTTGGGTCAAGATCTTCTAAATCATATTTGTCGCATACAGAACATCGACAACCAGTTCATTTGGGGACTAAAATTTATGGATAACGATGGCATGGAGGATCAAAGACACTGGCTGGATCTAGATAATTTAATAAGAACGCAAGTACGTACAGTTAGTAACGTGAGATTTTACTTCAGAGTCAAAGTGTATCCTCCAGAACCATACAGAATCATCGATGGCAATATCAGATTCTGCTTTTTCCAACAACTAAGACTAGATCTGTTAAGCGGCAGATTGTTCTGTAGTATTAACGATGCATCTATGCTGACAGCTTTGATTCTTCAGTACGTCCACGGAAATTTTGACTGTGACCGTTCTTGGACTTACAACTCGTATATAAAGCAGAAGATTTTAAGGCAAGAAAGATGCTCTACAAAATTTTTCTCTAATACAAAATTTCGAGCACTTGATATTTACGAAAAGCTACTGCCTGATTTAAGAACTCACGAAGTCGAAGACATGTTTCTAAGATTAGCAGGTAAACTAAATTCATACGGTGTAGAGCCGCTTTTGGTGCAAAATCTCGAACGAGAAGATGTGATTCTATGGATGAATTACAGTGGATTTAGTATATACAGTCGTAGACGTAAATTACGTTGTCTATCATGGAACGAAATCAATACTGTAACACATGAAGGAAATCGTTTATTATTGCAGTGTATTAATAGAAAAAATATAGTTTTTATATGCATGAACCCTTCGGAATGTACCTATATATGGAGTTTGGCTTCCGACCATTTAACGTATTTTACTGCTACTTTATACATCAACGCATGTGTGGGTGTGCATAATTATTACTCAAATACAATAGAAACATTTTACAGATCCAATAAGACTTTTCCAACATGTATCAGTGAAAATAACGAAATAAGTCATATTAAAAGACTATTGCCGAGTAAGAAAGAGTTACTTGAGTTGAACATTTCTAAGACTTTACTACAAATGTTAGATGTAAATGTTTGGAGATCGCAGTTTCCTGTAATATACGTTCTAATAATACTGTATGTTATGGGATCGCACAGTACTATATTTGCCGATCTGCCTGGTCTATATTCAATAAGAACCGGTATTCATAATATGGTTTCTAAAATCTTATTTAATAAAGTGGTTCCATTTTAGTGTTCTGTTTTATTTAATTAACAAAAATTATAGGTATGTCATGAGAGGTTAAGATTTCTCTATTACGCTAATGATAATTCCATATTGTCTCTAACAGAATTTCAATTTCATAACTAGTATAACGATCTGCATCAACAGTTTTCTAATTTTATAGAAACTATTAACGTGCAACTATGGAAAATAGTTCAATATTTGTTACTAGACTGAAGAGATAGTAATGTCGGAATATAATTTTATAGTGAAAGTGTCATCCCTCTGTTTCTGAACTATATAGAAACACATATGACAATATCACTTTCTGATTTTTCCAACAACTAAGACTAGATCTGTTAAGTGGCAGATTGTTCTATAGTATTAACGATGCATCTATGCTGACAGCTTTGATTCTTCAGTACGTCCACGGCAATTTTGACTGTGACCGTTCTTGGACTTACAACTCGTATATAAAGCAGAAAATTTTAAGACAAGAGAGATGTTCTACAAAATTTTTCTCTAATACAAAATTTCGAGCACTTGATATTTACGAAAAGCTACTGCCTGATTTAAGAACTCACGAAGTAGAAGACATGTTTCTAAGATTAGCTGGTAAACTAAACTCATATGGTGTAGAACCGCTTTTGGTGCAAAATCTGGAACGAGAGGATGTCATTCTTTGGATGAATTACAGTGGATTTAGTATATAGAGTCGTAGACACAAATTACGTTGTCTATCATGGAATGAAATCAATACTGTAACACATGAAGGAAATCGTTTATTATTGCAGTGTGTTAATAGAAAAAATATAGTTTTTATATGCATGAGCCCTTCAGAATGTACCTACATATATATGGAGCTTGGCTTCAGACCATTTAACGTATTTTACTGCTACTTTATACATCAACGCCATGTGTGGGTGTGCATAATTATTACTCAAACACAATAGAAACATTTTACAGATCGAATACTTTTCCAACGTATATCAGTGAAAATAACGAAATAAGTCATAAATATATATAGACTATTGCCGAGTAAGAAAGAGTTACTTGAGTTGAACATTTCTAAGACTTTACTACAAATGTTAGATGTAAATGTTTGGAGATCGCAGTTTCCTGTAATATACGTTCTAATAATACTGTATGTTATGGGATTGCACAGTACTATATTTGCCGATCTACCTGGTCTATATTCAATAAGAACCGGTATACATAATATGATTTCTAAAATATGACTATTGTCTATTATTATATGACTATGTATATGATTATTTGTGAAAATGTCATCCCTCTGTTTCTGAACTATATAGAAACACATATGACAATATCACTTTCTGATTTTTCCAACAACTAAGACTAGATCTGTTAACTGGCAGATTGTTCCGTAGTATTAACGATGCTTCTATGCTGACAGCTTTGATTCTTCAGTACGTCCACGGTAATTTTGACTGTGATCGTTCTTGGACTTACAACTCGTATATAAAGCAGAACATTTTAAGGCAAGAGAGATGCTCTACAAAATTTTTCTCTAATACAAAATTTCGAGCGCTAGATATTTACTGAAAGCTACTTCCTGATTTGAAAACTCACGAAGTGGCAGACATGTTTCTAAGATTAGCTGGTAAACTAAATTTATAGGGTGGAGAGCCGCTTTTGGTGCAAAATCTCGAACGAGAAGATGTGATTCTTTGGACAGTGGATTTAGTATATACAGTCGTAGACGCAAATTACGTTGTACCATGGAATGAAATCAATACTGTAATACTTGAAGGAAATCGTTTATTATTGCAGTGTGTTAATAGAAAAAATATAGTTTTTATATGCATGAACCCTTCAGAATATATAATCATCATATATATGTTACGGTTAAAGTCCGATGTCCGGTTAATGTCGACATTAACAGGTTAATGTTTGGGTTTGGTTATGTTTTTGGTTGTTTTGTTGTGTGTCATTCTCGAGATTAACCGGGTAATGTCGACATTAACCGGACATCGGACATTAACCGTAACATATATATAAAGCAGAAGAGTTAAATATTTAAATAAAGAATATCTTTGAAATATATTAATATTGGATTAAAAAAGAAAGTCTTTGAAAAAGGTCTCTGAAAGACGCATTGCTATCTTGTTTCTAAACTAGGTTAGCTGAAAGATTAGAAAATTTGCGTCACTCTAGAAAGTTGTACAACGGATCCAACGGAGTCTAAATGCTGCAGTTCTTTTCAACTATCCTTTCTCCATTTTGTAGAATCTAAATCAAAATGAAACAGAACGAAAAACATTTAGAAATGTTTCAGCCTCAATAGTTTTTTTAACAAAATATGTTGGATTTTTGGGCTTACATAAAATGTAATTAAAATTAGATAACAAATAAATAAGTAGGTAGTTTAAAAGGTAAAAAAATAAAAGTCCGTATACATTTTACAAGTTTTATTGAATATTTAATGAGACCCCAGTTAAATTTGTGACAAAGAAATAAGTTGAAGCTCGTTACATAGAGATAAGGTCTTTACCAAGGTGCTTTACAAGAGCATTTAATACACTTTACATCATTATTTTAAAGATTTTTTACACTAAACATTTAATTTATGATATTTTTACATTTTTTAAATAAAAAAAAAATATATAACATAATTAGAAAAAAACAGTGATGTAAAATAAATTAAATTAAATTAAAATTTTCAATTTAACATAGAGTGAGAGAATTGACATATCTTAAAAATATATACATGTAAATATTACAGAAATGAATTGAATTTAACATATCTTTGGTAAAAAATAAATATAATATACTATAGTAAATAAAAGTTTATAAGAAAAATACAAAACTTAATCTTTTAAATTATATTCATAAAATTAACAATTAAATATACTTATTTTATTTACACTGTACAAATTTTAAAAAAATTAATGTTAGTACCAGTTGCTAAACCTACGTTAGTTGTTCACAACTTAAAATTGTAGAATTAGAGAGAAATGCTTTTCAGTCAATAATTTTATCGGTCAGTGTTCTTGGTTTATATATCTACATAAAAGAATCGTCTAATATGTAATTGCTTTATTAAGTATAGTAGATTATGTTCTAAACTGTTCATTATATATAAAGTTCATTATGTTCTAAATTGTTCATTATGTGAACAAGTTCAAAATGCATTATGTATAAAGAGGATTAAACATGATCTGATTTTAGATAGCACCAAAAAGCCATTACTTTAAAGCCAAACTTTGAATTGACAGCTTGTAGCTTTATCAGTACTACAAAAAATTACCGTATGATATTAATAAAGCGTTAAATTGGCTTGGAAATGGTCGATGACATTCACCATATAATTTTACATTAAAAATTACTAATAATTAGAAGACGTTTTTTTTTGAATGATATTATACCGGGTGCGTCTGAAAAGTGGCTCACCCCTATAACTTTTTTATTTTTTTCAGATAAACGAGATTTGATATGTTTGAATATATGACAAAAATTAGGATTTTTTTGTTTTCGGTCACTTACTGTTTTATCGGAAATGACCAAAACAGGAAGTGACCAAAAACAATTAAATTCGTTAATCAATCCTAATTTATGTCATACACTAACACACCAAATCTCGTTTTGATATCTGAAAAAATAAAAAAAGTTACAGGGGTGAGCCACTTTTCAGACGCATCCGGTATATGATAATATATAAAATTAATTATTTTTTTGAAATAAGTGGGTACTCTGTTTTAATAAGCTATTTCTTGGAGGATTATTAATCTTTTTTAGGAAGATATTTTTGAGGGTCATTTCTTTAAGGGATCATTTATATACCATATAGTTATTGAAAAAAACTATTTGCAATTAATTCACCATGCTAAAAATAATTGACAACTAAAAAAATGCCATATTTTAACAATTTTTTTTATTTCACAGTTGTTAATAATTCGTTGTTCGACTCTACTAAATTAAATATGTAAAATATAATAGAAAATCTAGGAACTAGTGGGGTTGCAGTCAAAGTTGCAGAGGAAGGAATGAATAAATTCTGAAAGCTTGACAATTAACAAGGTGTATTAATTCTTTGTCAAACCCTTCCGACTGCAACCCCACTAGTTCCTAGATTTTCTTTCTCACTAGTCAGTCGAGACTACTTTCTGCCTAAAATATAATATATATTTCATTTGCCATCATAGTAATGGTCTGCTTATGCTATAGGTATGTCACAGTCGTCTGCATCAAATATTTTTCAACAAAAAACGTTCCTATATTTTGTATTTTGTACAATACTGTATAATTAATGTTAGAAATTAATAAATAAGAACAAATAGTATAAAAAAATACGTTGTTATCGATATATTGATGAAAAATTGATTGTTGCAAATATTTGATTTCTTAGTCAGATTGAATTAAAAAACTATGTCACCCTTAGACATTAATTGAGCAAATATAATAAGGTAATTTTTAGGTCAAAATGTTAAGAACAAAAGGAATTAAAAAAATTGAGTCACCTATCCCTCGTCAGAGGTTTTACATTGATATGTACTCGTACTGGGTTGAAGAACGTTTAGTAAAAGGACTCTATTTCAAATTTTGTAGTACACTTTTATATAATTACTTATAATACTTTTCTGCTAATAATTATCATAACTTAATAGTATATGATAATTATATAGTGTATGATAGCTTTGTCTTTCTCTGCTTAGTTTTTATCTTGTTCTAATTAATGTAATAATTTGAGATGGGTATGTCTAGTAATGTAAATGTATAATATTGCATCCCCTGACGTGGGGAATAGGAAGAGTATAAGAGCAATATAAGAGCAATATATAATTCAATTAACTTATGCGTAATGCTTCGCCTTAATTCTTCCTTCCAGTTTTTTCCTTCTTGTTCTAATTTATGGCACATTTTCGAGATCGAAATGTTTAATGATGTAACATGCATTTACATCACTATAGTTAGTATATTGCCTCTCTTAGCGTCACTAATGACAGGCTTTAAAAAATGGAAAATGTAAAATGAAAAAAAATTGCAAAAATTTGATTTGTTATTCAGATTTAATTAAAAAAACTTTGTCACCTTTTAACATTAATTAAGCAAATAGAATAAGGTAGGAAGACCGAAAACATTAAAAGTTTGTTCCTGCGATCCCTTGTCTCCAGTATCATTCCCCCTAGTTGTTGGTTACTGATTTTCAACGAGGTATCCAGACAGTGAAACCCGAGATAGAGCGACAAGCTGGATGGTGTTACATCCCTTGACGTGGCGAACATCAGCCGTTTTACATAATTCAATCAATTTAGGCGTAATACCCTACCGTGTCGTCTTAATAGCTAGTGAAATTAAGAAGATGGCAATCCTAAGATTGAACATTAAATGTGTCTGACGCGGAGATAACAAATAATAATTTTCTTTATTTTATTCCGATTTTTATTCAGCTTGATTTCAAATTTTGTTGTTGCTTTTTATAAAATATCACTACTATATAACAGTATGTTCCCGGATTGTCTTTACAAGAGGAAAACCTTTTTTATTATCGACACTTTGAGAAAAATCCATTCTTTATAAGAAATTTTGCTTATTCTAAAATGGTTAATCCCGTTTATACAATCAAAAATCAAAGTTATTAACAAATCTCGAAGTATTAGAAAGAATGTGTAAGGACCAAGAACTATTGACTACAATAAAACGAAGGAAAGCAGCATAGTTTGGTCATATTTTTAGGAATAACAAATATAGT